CTTTAAAAACGCCGGCATATGTAGGTATGTGTATTCTTGATCTTTCCTAGACGTTAACGTACGATTCTCGTTATAATTGTATTGTAAAGAAGTTTGGTGACAAAGCAAAATTATTATTCACAGACACAGTCTCGCTGACATATGAAATTGAAATTGAAGATGTTCATCAAGATTTTTGGAATGATGAGAATAAATTTGACAATAGCGACTATCCTGAAAATTCCATATTTTGATAAAACAAACAAAAATGTAATGGGCAAGTTAAAAGACGAGACTTCTAGTATAGCAATTACTCAATTCGTTGGCTTTAGATCAAAATGTACTCTTATAAAAACGATAATGAGAAAAGTGATAGAACAGCTGAAGGAATAAAAAATTGTCATAAAGAAGACTATAAAAATGTATTAACAAACAAACAAATGCATCATAAAATGAAAACCATTGGGAGCAACAATCATCAACTTACAAGTTATGAACTAAATAAATTGTCACTCAGCTGCTTTGATGATAAACGATACATTCATTTAGATAGTATAACATCAAGTACGCTTCTGGACGTTACAAAATACAAAACTGAAATAATAAAAACAATAATGTTACCCCAAAGTTGTGGTATAACATTAAACAACTTCCGCAAGCACCGTTCATTTGATGTGTCTATAGAACCACCACTTCTCTAATCTTCCCAACTCTTCAGTAATGAAGAGATTTGGATGGGTTTCGGCATCTTCAATCTGAAGACAAACTTCACTGACAAACGTTTCTGGTAATCTTTCTTTAAAAATCAGCTTTTAATCGGTACCTCACGCTGACTCGTAATGAGTGCAGTCCCTTGCATGGTTTCCTTTTCAGACACCACGCCTACCTTTTATTTTAAATTACCTTAACTACATTGGACTTTTTTCTGTTGTCACACAAAAAAGGATTCGCCACTTTGCTTAGCGTTATTGTAATAACATAGATATTAAGTTTTTTTTCATCTTTTAAAGTAGGTAATATGTTTGGTGTGAAAGACCCGATCCCTCGTGTGTGGTTCAAAAGTTTTTATGTGTGGGCTGTAATGCTTGCTTTGTCGGTGAAACCTCTCGGCATTTATCCACACGTGTGCGTGCGCACTCGATCAGTGATAGGTCCTCTCACAGTTTCGGACATTTACCAAATTCTCAACAATGATTAGTGTTTTAGCACCTTAGATCGTATTTATTTCCGCACTCCACGAGGCTCCGTTTCCGCACGCATTTTCGAATTCTCCACCAAATCCGATTCTGGAATCAGGGAAGTTGCAATCTCCTTCTTGATCAGCGATGATTCCGATTCGAACTCCCGAGGTATTTGTCTGAGGGAAAAACCTATTGAAAATTTTACACGGATGTGTTTTTTTTCCTTTTTTTCAGGCGCAATCCTGTAGCAGCGTCGAGAAAGTTGATACATGATTTTTTTCCTTTGTTTCTGCGCTTCTTGACTTGCATAAATCGTTTTTTTCTTTGATTTATTGTCTTGCAAAAAAATTTCTGTGTATTTGCCACCCTCTCTCGGCCCACAAATTTAGCGATTGTTCTTTACAGGAACGTGACCGCTGCCCTGAAGAGATCATGAGAACAACTTATTGTGACGTTAATCGCTAGAGGTAGATTCAGCCTTCACATTACGTTTCCTGGTTATTGTTTATATGTGGTTTCCTTATCGCTCTGACGAAGGGCTAACGCTCGAAACACCAGCTTTTAAACTCTATACGGTGGGCAATTTACGTTATCAACTTAGTTGACAATACTAAATTACCCCATTATACTCCGGCTCACGATGCAGCATCACAGTTTCACCACCGTTTTGTCCTGTGGCTTACAATAACGGAGGCTATGGAAAATAAATTAAGAGTAAAAGTCTGTGAAAATAATTTCGAATGACCTTCCGATGACTCGTTCATCATTTTCAAATTCTAGAATTCCGACTTCTGTGAGTTGTGATATACTAAGAATGCGTGTGAAATGTCGTGGGAAATTTGAATTATGAACTTTCGAAATGGCCCAATGATAAATTTTAATGTAACCGAAATTCAAAACCGTGAGACAAATGTAAAGCAGCTAAGGGAATGCTGAAACAAATGAAACGATTATTTTAAAACCTTACCCAGTGTTCAGCAGGATGACTTCCTCAAGATATGACTACTTTTCCATCATTTTTGTGAAAATTTTCTTTCTCTGGCTTACCTGCAGCAGCGCCAATGGCGAGATAAACCACAAAGATGAGTGCGCAAAGATTCATGGCTGTCTTTTTACTGTCTTGAGTACCTCCTGATTTCAGTGAGACTCGATAATATCTGAAGAAGGTACGGTATACCACAATTTAACAACCAACAAAACGTTAAATTGACATTCGCTACAACTTCTCCTTACCTAAGCGCATTCTTTAGCCTTATGCTTTGTTGAGAGAATTTTTACCTTCGTCATACCTATCTTAAAAGGATGTTTGTAGCACTTTTCTGCAACCATCTGACCGATAAAAATTCTACTTAATAGTGATATTCGTGCTTAAAACTTATAATAAAACTGTCCTCCTTACAGTTCAATTCCCTCCTTGTTCCCGTTTTGAGTCAATACCCTTTCAACCACTCTTAGAAGAGAATCTCTAAGTAACAACAGAAAAAAGTTTCAAAGAACAGAAAAATATACAAAGGGGAATTTTTTTTTCTCAAAACTTTTCCATTGATTTATATTTGGCCGAACACTGCGTTGATCAGACGAGCAGGTCACATACAGGGAATTTTTTGGAGCGAAGTAAAGTTTATTGATCGTGACCCTTATTAGTACACGCGCAGAGTCAAAAAGGCAATTCATAGAAGACTTCACCCTAACAACATCAACAGGGATAGCGGAATATAAATTCCAGAAGCGTGGATGCCCACGATTAAAAAACACAAGAACAGAAAAGCCGTGCGACAGCGGACCGGCGAGGGAGCAAATCACTGAGTGAAACAGCAAGGATCAAAATGCACCAATCAGAGCTGTCGAAAAACAGCTAATCACAGTAGAGCATCATGCTTTATAACATCACGCATGACCAGTCGACCTCATCGCCTGAAGAAGACTAGCAGTACGCAGTCGAATCGTCGCGATCTACATCACAAGTGACTTCATCGTGAGACAAACGAAAAAAACTTAGCTTTTATAGTTATTCACTACGATGAATAACCACAGCCTTTTTTACGAGGGATTGTTCTGATAGCGACTTTTCAAAAAAGGACTTTTTCTGCAAAAACCCCGTGAAAGTTTCCATAACTCGGGCATTCAACTTTCAACTTGCACGTAATTTTTTATCGCGCCATCAACATTTCTCCTTTCTAGCTATCTGCTTTGTAACTTCTATCTCAGTAGTTTACATACTAAAGAGCTAAGCCGTAATTTTCCAAACGCTAGCTCTTAGCTCTAAGAAGTGGAAATCTAGCATCTTATTTTGACTTGCTCAAAGTAACATTTCGGCCACCGAACTTTTAACAATTGGTTCATAAGTCAGCGTGCGTTCATCGAGTTATGAAGCACGCGGGAAGTTTGGAGAGCACGAAAGATGCGTAAGAGTTTTCTCGAGGGATTTGTTTGCTGAAGTCATGAGCGTGCACAATAGGAATATGAAGCACGCTCGCTCAATTGAATTTGATTAGACAGATTTACTGGCCATGTTATAATGAAGAAATGTAAACTGGTTTCCTTGTTTACATAGCTTGATGTAAACACGCGAGAGGTTGGGAGAACACGAGATAAGCGTAGGAAACCACGACGCGAAGCGGAGTGGTTTCCAGCTTATCGAGTGTTCTCCCAACCTCCCAAGTGTTTACATCAGGCTATGTAAACACGGAAACCATTTTACATTTCTTTTCTAAAATAACTAACAAAGGGGAACGAAAACCGTGTTTACATACGCTCATGTAAAATGGTTTTATGGCCAATCAGAGCGCGCGTACTATTTTAATTATTTTATAATTAATATTGCCTCATGTAACGTTATTACAAAAAAAAAAGACATCCCCTACCTAGTGAAGTTATCTTGTTCAGTTTTAGAAGTGGTCTGCCTCAAAATACGAAAGTCTTAATACTTAATACATCTTATATACACTTTAGATCAAGTAAAATGCTGTGCGCACACTCGCCTAATATTCAACGCCTGATATATCACTTTTCCAAGCGTAAGTTAAAACATGACTCATTTGACATGAACAATGGAAAAAGTTGTCATAATGGCCAATTTAAAACTTCAAATAAACAGTAATAATCCCCTTTATCATCACTTTGTTTTTGACAGTCGATCATTGAAACAATACCAACAAACTAAGTTTACCTTTTCTCACATCTTTTGTTTAACAATTGCACGCCTCCCTTTCGTAATCGTAACTCTTCTTAACAAAGCAGAAAGAATTTTTTTTTAAAATTCATTTCCAAAAAGTTACATAAAAGTCCCCCGCCCCCCAACAATGTTGAAATACAATTTTGATCATTATGCTAACCCCAGGAATGTTGTCACTCATTGTCATCCCAGAAGTGATTATCACATGACAATCTAATGACTAATTTCCTCGGGAAACTCCCTCATATATTACATCATCAACTTCCTGTTTTTGTGTCACCCAATGGAAAAATGCCGTCAGATCATATTGCTATTCTCCTATGGTATTCCAACGCTTTGTGATAAAAAAATGACTCCTTAAAATGATGCCATTAAATGATTTTATCAGATAATTTTATCAAATGATTTCATCAAATGATCTCATCAAATAATTCCATCATATAGAAAGTAGTATAGAGGGTTGGCATTTTGTACAAGATCACTTTTTCAAAGTGCTTTGGTACCGCAAACTACTATACTACATAAACACAAGTAAAGAGAAATTACGGTAGATGTCAGAGGCTATTCATGTGTTTATAAGTTGGCGTTTGTTATAACTTCCTCACTTATCATCGAGTCTCACTGAAATCAAGTGGTATTCAAGACAGTGTGAGAAGACGAAAGCGATGAAATTTTTTGCGCTCATCTTTCTGGTTTGTCTCGCAATTGGCGCTGATGCTCGCAAGAAAAAGAAACTTTTCCGCCGAATATTGAACAAGTTGTCCCATCTTGAGGACCTGATTAAGAAGAAACAGGCCTGCTATCCGCCAAGTAAGATGTAGAAGATCTTTTTTGTCGTTTTAACGTTACTTTTACATCACCGCTTTTTTGGTCCGTCGGTTCTGAATTTCGGCTGGATTAAAAGTTATTGTTAACATAGTTTGGAATTTTGCTAGTTACCCAGTTATGATCGATTGCCTGATAGTTTTTCTCATCTCTTCAGAGCCAACACCCGCAAGTTCCTGCAAAGAAATATATGAAAAAGACAGGTAAGGAACGTACGATCGTTAAATTTGTGCCTGAACGAGGGTGGGTGGCAAACAAACATATCGCGAAAATCCTTCTACAAAAAATTGCGCACTGGAGGAAAAATAATGTACAAAGCTAAAAGCGCAAAAAAAGAAAAATAAATAAAAAATAATTTATGCCAGTTGAGAATTCCACATCTCTTCCCCTTTACATGTAAGGATCAGTGTGAGTGATTTAAGAGAGTGTAAACTCGGCTGGATTTGTAGGGTTTGTTCTTTAATATCGTGATGGTGCAGATCTGGGCTCCTGTTTGGCTACACATCAAGAGCACAGTTTAAATACCTAAATAGCCTTGTAACAAGTCTTCACCCGTTGGAAATTGTGACATGTCTCCGTCCTGTTAACCCTGATTTTGTTTATCTCAGTATTATTCTCGCTGACCGTAATAGGGCAGAGCCAAGACTTCCCCGCGTATTCTTTGCGATGTCACGCAGTGCTGCTTCTTTTTTGCGTCTCGTGACATTCCAAAGAACTACCTCGTAGGATTCAAAGAATATAACACTCTGATGCTCTCTCATTAGTGCCAGCCCGAACAAGGCGTATAACCTCAAGCTTGGGAATAAATATCTGTCTGTGTATTGTTCCATGGATGGGGAGCTCGGAGACTGCGGTTGTGGGGGATGGACGCTGGTCATGAAGATTGATGGTGCAAAGGTACAGTGGAACCCCTCTAAACTGGTGTACACCCTTGGGACCGTAGTTTTTCAAGAATGTCGAATGAAAACTTTGACTCGCTTCTTTCACTCCTGTTTGCTTCCCATTGTCTCTTTTAAGTCAGTGAATGTTTTATAGATCATATTAAAGGGCCACGCTCAACCAGCACGCAATACGGGCGTAGTGGACACTCTCAGTATTTTCTGGCGCGAGTTTGATGAAGCACTCATAGAGCGAAGTGAAGCAAAACTGGGGCAATACCGGATTAGTTTAGACACTAACTTGAAAATTACCTCATCTTGCAGCACAACTTTAACTACGATTCAAAAGCGTGGTGTTCCAGGTCTTCAATCTCTCCCGAAAATGGAGAAACGGGGTTGGATCACTTGGAGACCCTGTTACCAACGTACTGGAGCACGTCCTTTACCAAGATCTGTCTCGGTATGAAGGTCGATGGAGTAACCAGGTTCTTGCGAGTGGATAGGGCAGCAGCCTCACTGTATACCCTCATTGCTGATGGTCAGTACCGTGCTACCTCGCTGGGCCGTGATGCATGGAAGAAGCTGATTGGCCCCAAAGCCTCCCTCCAGCGCAACTGTAATCAAGAAGGCTTCAGTTCGCGGGTGAGTAGTAGCGTTCATTCTCGGGTTCGAATTGGAATCATCTCTAATCAAGAAGGAAATTGTCATTCCCCTGATTCCTTTATCGGATTTGGTGGAGGAGGGTCAGGATTCAATAACGCGTGTGGAAACGGAGCCTCGTGGGGTCCAGACAACGGAAACAAAAATATCAAGGCATTTGGATACATTTTCGTTCAGTAAAGACGCTGAACTGCTCTGCTCAAGTAAAAAGCTACATGCGACATAAAGCATGCTCTTATTTCAGTAATGGGGATTTTAAATGTGGGTTTTTGCTTTTGTTGTTAAATGAAGGGAAAATAAAAGTGGGTCAATGAATCAAAATAATGCCTCTTAATTTCTGTGTTGTAGTTACTCGAAGGAGAATATTTCCTGTAGGTGTATAACTTTTACTCCCTCTAAGAAGTTGCTTTCCTTAAATCATATCAATACACTGTCTTTATGGGAGCCTTTTTTTTTCTTGACATCATAATTCGTTCAGCAAGGGCCAAATTAAAAAAAACTAAAATTGCACAAAATAAATGGAAGAAAACGACAGACCTCTCGTTATTTATCGCCTGATGGAGAGGGGCTGGGGTCCTCAGACCGAAAGATGCAAAAACAATGAATACACTTACCATATCTTTGATTCATCCACTATGTCGTCGAATAGGCGCCTAACTCGACCGACTTCCGTAATCGTGCTGCAGTCCCATATCCTTTTTAAGGGCGCAATCAGTAAACTAGCGACAAAAAAGTTAGGACCTGATTTGTTTTTTCTGCACTTCTTGCAAAGCAAAAATCATTCCTTTTGCAAAATTTCCTTGTAAAATAATTTCTCAGTGTGTATTTGCCACCTTCTTGGCCTCATACTACCGTAGTTATTGAGTTATAAGGCGCACCGTTTTTTTCAAGAAATTCCTAATTTCTACTAAAAATTACCAGCAAAGTTTGGGTGCGTCTTATAGGCGAATATTTTCCCGAAAAAAATTTTTTCATCACAGTTACTGGTACGATTTCAAGCAAATAAAAGGATACACAGTGTTGGTCATTGACTTTTATAAGTATGGTGGTTCTGAAAAGACGAGCGAAGTCAAATTTGCATAGATATGATACGTGCTCGAGAGCACGTGCTCAGTAATTTGACACGTCACAAAACAAAACGAAAATAAACAAGCGAAGAGATAAATACCTTCATCCATCCAGCCTTCTTTGTGCACTGAGACCTGCATTCTCGGCGGTATGTTGATTCTTGTTTAATCAAGGCTTTTGTTTGTGCGCGTGGTCGCGTGTGCGACAATTCTGCTTTTGTTAATTAACAGTAAACTATAATCAATACGCGACTTTTTCGCTTTTTTGTAAGTTTATGAGGGAATTTACAATAAACTTGACTGATCTTTACTCCCCAAACAACGGTGTGCCTTATAACCAAGTATTTTAGCGATATTTTCAGTTTGAAAACATGCAATGATGAAGTTGCCGAATTGGGGGTGCGTCTTATAGCCGAGTGCGCCTTATAACCGAATAACTACGGTAGTTTCTTATTTTGTCGGAGACTGGGTCCCAACGTAATTAAGTTTTGATTGACACTTCACGTAAGTTATCATGGTTGTCGCTTTTGAAGGAGTGTTTTTTCTTAGAAGAAGGTGTAAAAAAGCACTGAGTGAAATGGAACAAAAAAATTTAAACTAGGAATGGTGTTTTCAAAGCCCTTCATGCTGGGGGGCCGGAGAGGAATAGATCATTTCATTTTAACTCACTGCGTTCGCACACATGAAAATTATTTTCTAAACCGTTAAAGGAACTTGCACAACACGACAACCACAGTCAAATGGGTTGGTAACTCACGGAGAGCCAATATAAGCTTTATTACTGTATTCGAGCACTATGTGTATAAATGGTCACATTGCTTTTTGTCCCACAGAAATACGATACGCGAAGCTATATCCTCATTAAGCTAGTACATTGCACAATTCATATGATACGGTTAAATTATAGTGAAAGCACTGATTATAATCATACAAACTAGGCTGTAACTATCATCACGCGTGGAAACTTAATGATAGCAATTAAATACCTAGGCTAGATGAAACTGAAAGCCGTGCAGATATATCTTCTTGAATATACAAGTCTTTGGCGTAATCGGATTTCCACCGCCCGTGTAATTTTAATAACCTGTCTGATACAGGGCCGCTAGGTGAATTTACGGCAGCGGTTGCCCCACCGGACCTAAGACTGTGTAACCCAAAAAGTTTGGAGTCGTAACCTAGAGCCTTGAGAGCTTCCAAAAAGATTTCTCGACACCTAGAATACGAAATTCCTTTGTTCCCTAAAACATAAGTATTATAATTTTTCTGAAATACTAACTGCCTGATTAGGAGACCGTCTGCATTATGGTCCATTCTTGCAGCAGACATATACCTAAGGACCATATGAACTGGACAAGTGGCATTGTCCGTTCTAGCAATAATAGCTTTATTACCTTCCCTGTAGACATCTGTTTTACTACTTGGTATAACAATGGACATATGGTCATCTGCGAAAGTTATATGCGAAGCTTTGATATTTGCTAACTCATTGAATCTGAAGAAACCTGCGAAACCTAAGAGGACTATGACTGAAATTCGCAGATCTTTTAGATTAGCGTCTACCTTGCCATGTTTAGCAACTATTCTCTGGACCATATCAATAGAGAGAGGGAGCTTCCTATTCTTCCGTTGTGTGCCATTACGTTTCGCAGCTTCAACAACATTTCTACACACTCCGGTTTTCAAAGGATTATTACTACAAGTTACGTCTACTACATCGTGTAGCCAAACTAATGCAGCATAAGCCATACTAACAGTGCTGGGAGAACCAGTCTTCCTGTGAAGTTGAGACAAATAGGCCGCTACAACAACAGGCTCTTGTGGCAAAACGAATTGAGCCTTAACATCATTGCACCAACGCATAAATTTTTGACACTCAAGTAAATATCTATTCATCGTCGAAGGTTGTCTGGCCTTAAACTGATCAGTAATGAGGCGCAGCTTGAAGGGAGCTAAAGATCCATAGAGACTTGCTCAACAGGACTGAGCAGAGATGGCCTGTTGAGGAAAACAAAAGGAAAAAACACATAACAGAGGGGTGTAGAGGTGGAACAATCTTACTCACTGATTCATGGCTAAAAGGGAATAAGTACTACAACCCGGGTGCTATTAGTTCTCAACACCACTACATTCATTAAATGAAGATCAAAAAAGGGCAATAAATAACACAGCACTATTGGAGTGCTATTCGTTGTCGACACAACTTCTGCACATTGACACTGGCCGAAAAGAAATAAATACCTCAACACTGGTAAGGTGCTACTCGTTGTCAGCACATCTACCTGATATAAAATGATCAAAGTGAAATAAATAACGCAACACTGCCAAGGTGCTATTCGTAGTCAGCACAAATTCCACTCGCTAGATTGTGGCCGAAAGGCCAACCTTTCAGATTCTTACCCCGAAGGAACGAAATTCAATCTTAAAGCCACTACATATCCCGGAGTATTTGGCGAACCCAGAATAGAATTGTGATTTCGCCCGTGCGTCAAAGCTTGAGGCATAGACAAAACTCTTAAATCCTGGATGAAACTGCAATAAATATTGGTTAACAGGGGCCAAAACACGGCTGACTTCCACAGTGGAACAATAAGGGTGCCCTTGGCTCCTTGACTATATATATAGGCAAGCGTTCTGGGAATAAGATAAACTGGCGGAACTAACCAGCAGTTCTCAACTTCCCACGACTGCATAAATGCGTCAATGCCCGACGTTTCCGGGTTCCAAAATCTAGAAAAATATCTGGTGATTTTTCTGTTGTAATACGTGGCAAAACAATCCACCGTGTGGGGACCCCAAAGACTATCCAAGTCTTTGAAGACGTCCTCAGTGACCTGCCAATTGTCAAAATCCACCAGTTTGCTAATAAAATCTGCCCTGGTATTGCCATCTCTAGGAACCCATTCAATATCCAAATGAATGCTGTGTTCGTAACATATCTTGAATATTCTTAAGGCAATCGTGTGTAACTCGAGATTCATGCTACCGACCTCAACGATTTTGGCAGTGGCCTGGTTATCGGTATACTACTTAATATGTGATGAACTTAAAATCGGAAGGCAAGACAGAAGTGAGAATTCAATTGCACTTAATTCTCGCCACGTAGAACTTCTACTCCTTTCGTCCTGCGTCCACATTTTGTGGCAAATATGCTCGCCGTCATTGATATAAGAAACAGCTCCGCAGGCAATATTACTAGCATCTGAAAAAGTTACTTTCTGAGGTTTGCGGAAAACAAAGCAATTTTTATAATTGCGTAGATGGATATTGTTCTTCCAGAAAACGATTTCATCCTTACAATACTCGTCTAAAATCATAGGTGTATCCCAATGCTCAGCAATAGCAATTGTCATCTGACAGTGTCTGGTAGTAATTCTGGGTAAATTTCCAGTAACCGGACATGTAGACATAACTTTCCCGACAAATGATGACAATTGTCTAGCCGCAATTGTGCATTTTTGAGCTTCAATAAAAGCCACACAATCAACGATACCTTGGACCCTCCTGGGTGTAATACTAATAGTACCAAGAGTGGAGTTCCAGACCAATCCTAACCAAGTAATAATTTGCGTTGGTTCCCAAATTGACTTTTCGCTATTTGTTATAAATCCGGCTAAACGTATGTCGGAACGAACCCTACTAGCTATAATATTTGCCGAATTATAGTCGTCAGCTATGGACCAACCATCATCTAAAAATACCGCGATGTAAATACCGTTAGCCCTCCACCATCCAACCAAAGGGTGGAGTATCTTTGTAAAGATATAAGGAGTTACAGAAAGGCCAAAAGGAAGAACTGTGAAAACGTAAAACCGCGTCTCCCCTTGAAAATCCCATGAAAAACCTAAGAATGTTTGATGTGGTTGGAAGATCTCGACGTGATGATAGCCACTCTTAAGATCAAAAGAAAACATATAACCATTCTTGCGAAACATAAGAGAAGCAATTTTCCAATCATCGTACTTAATCCTCAGTTTCTTAATGAAATGATTAACATATCTTAAATCAAGAATTAACCTTTTCTTTCCATTAGGCTGAACGGAAACCGACAATGGATTGACGACATGGGGTTTGTAAGATAATTGCTTTATGCGTTCGGACTCCAGTAGCTCAGTGATAGAATTCTCTACGAAATCAATATTTTTCAGGGCAGAAGCGTTGTTCTTTGAATAATATGCAGGCGGCACATCCCAGAAAGGCAAACGATAACCAAATTTAATTACGTTTAATATGAAGGATGAAGCACCTAAAAATACCCAAAATTCTAAATTTTTCTTTAAATTGCCCTTTACATTGTAATTCCGTCCTAGATCTTCGTCAATTTCAAAACGATTCAGTACCTGAAGTACATCCGTAAACTTGTCGAATTCCTCATGAATGTCCGATTCCCTTAAGTCCGGTTCCTGAAGCGTTTGTGGTGGTGGAGGCTGGGGCAAAGGCGGTTGGCTTGAACTGGCCGAAAGGGCGGGGATAGAAGCTGGAGGCCCTGCAATCTTTGGCCCAGTGACCTGGCCTTCCGCACCTGAAGCAGTCCCCATGTGCATAAGAGCTTGGACGGCCTGCGGGTGTCAAGATGGGACGAAAATATGAATAGTTAAGTAACGACAAATAACAACCAAAGAACAAAACTTGGTCATTAACACAAAAGAAAAGGAGGGGCGGGTGGGCGGGAAAGCAGAATACAGCAAAGCTATATTGGTGACGCGAGAAGTGAAATAAGCATACGGCTACTGGACTATACAGCAGTACATGCTATGACACCTTACTCCCATGTGGTACAGAAATCATGCATACTTGACAGGTATTACGTAACAGTAATGCACACGAAGGTGAGATAGAAAAACAAAGTGTGAACACTGACGTTCTGTAATAAACTCCTATAGAAAATACATATTTATTTTCTATCTTCTTCGGTGGTATTTATGAAGAATTTCATTTTAAAAAATTGTCACCTATGATTTAGAAGAAATTACGACAAATACGCAAATTTGTAGAGTAATGATTGGATGAAATGTCTCCTGAAAACACATCGTTGTGAAAGGAAAAGAATGGACAGTTTTATTTTCATCAAATAACGACAATATATGATATATTCTTTGTTACAGTTGAATGCAAGATTAAAGAGCAGAAAAAATAGCCGCCGAATACACACAACATGAGCTTAGGAAAAAAAAAAAAGGAAAAAAAAAGTAGCCCAAAAATTTTTGTCCTAAAAAATGCCTTCATTGAGATCACCATTTTCAACGGCCCACCCCTAGAGTTTCGCATACGCGCCTGACTATCGCTTTTGACATCGGTCGCCTGGCAGGAATATTTTGTGCTGGTGAAAAACATAAATTGAACTTAACATTTATTGAACACGCAGCTTTGTGAAAGGAAAATGTTAAACATTTTTATTTTTATCAAATAAAAACCAAAAATAACGTGAACTCTGTTTCAATCGAATGCAAAAATCGTCGCACGTGACGGAACATCGAATGCTCGAAATACAGTGTAACAGTGCGTACAAGAATATTCATATTTAGAAACAAATTACAAGAAACTGAAAACTTATTGACGAAATTGATGTCTAGCTCACGTTGAAGTTCAAGTTCCGTCATAAACATTAATTATCACGTTTTAAACATTCATGATCCGTGCGGAACGAACGGATCGTTAAAATGACATGGCCAAAGCTTTAATAAAATTCACGGATCGTCAACACAGCCTTACGAGTCGTGAATATATTTGACGCACCATGGTACTGGACATGCGTGACCGAGGAGAGAGAAAATTGCGCGTCATCAATTTAATTTCTGACCACTTTTTTGTATATTAACAGAAATAAACTAATTTTGTTATTGTTGTGTGGTAAATACTCAAACAGTTATGCACCTCAGAGTCGGTGAAAGTCCTTGATATCTATCTCGCAGCTCAGTTAATAATATCCACTTCCATTCACCTCCACTTCGGTGAATAAATAACTCACCTGCATTTTTACTGGCACTGTGAATTGATTAATAACGGTAATAGGACTGAGTGGAGTCCAATTTCGTCTGCAATCATACGGGTGATTAACCAAATCGGACTTTGAATGTAGCCCAAATTGGACGACACGAAGTCCCGTTATCATTATAAATCGGGCTGGTGATAATCAATTACGTTCGAGAATTTATAGTTCTAGCTTTAATTAATTGCCTAACAATATCTTCAGGGCCAACTACACCTGCAAGTTCCTCGAAAGAAATATGCGACAAGGACAGGCAAGGAACGAGTGTAGGGTCAGGGCGGGTGGCAAATACACACTGAGAAATCGTTACATGGAAATTGTGCAAAAGAGATGATTTTTACAAAGCAAGAAGCGTAGAAAAAAACAAGTCAGGCTCTAACTGTGTTTGTCGCTTGTTTACTGATTGAGCTCGTAAAAAGGAAATGGAACTGCACGACGATTACGGAAGTCGGTCGAGTTAGGTGCTTATTCGACGAGATACTGGATGGATCAAAGATATGGTAAATATATGCATTGTTTCTGTATTTTTTTGGTCTGGGGACACCCCCTTCCCTCCTATAGGCAATAAATAAAGAAGGGTCTCATATTCTCTGCCATTTATTTTGTGTAATTTTAGTTTTTAGAATTTGGCCCTTACTGAACGAATTATGTTGTCAAGAGAGGAAAAGCACTCATAAAGACGGTATGTTGATATGGTTTAAGGAAAAGTAACTTCTTGGAGGGAGTGAAAGTTATACACCTAAAAGACAGATTATTCTACAAATCAACTCAAAAATACAAGAGACAATATTTTAATTCATTAACCCACTTCTATTGTTCGTTTATTTCATAGCAGAAGCGAAACCCGACGTCTTAAATCCTCATTACTGAAATAAGAGCTTGATCATTGCTCCACGTCGCATGCAACTTTTTCCTTAAGCAGAGCAGTTCAGTGTCTTTACTGAACGAAAATGTATCCAAATGCCTTGATATTTTTGTCTCCGTTGTCCGGTGAATACAAGGCTCCGTTTCCACACGCGTTTTTGAATCCTGACCCTCCTCCACCAAATCCGATAAAGGAATCAGGGGAATGACAATCTCCTTCTTGATTAGAGATGATTCCAACTCGAACCCGAGAATGAACGCTACTACTCACCCGCGAATTGAAGCCTTCTTGATTACAGTTGCGCTGGAGGGAGGCATTGGGACCAATCAGCTTCTTCCATGCATCACGACCCAGCGAGGTAGCACGGTATTGACCGTCACCAATGAGGGCATACAACGAGTCTGCTTTCTGATGCAGTTGCAAGAACCTGGTTACTCTATCGACCTTCATTCCAAGGCAGATCTTGGAAAAGGACGTGCTCCAGTAGGTTGGTAACAGGGTCTCCAGGTGATCCAATCCGGTATCTCCATTTTCGGGAGAGACTGAAGACATTGAAGACCACACTTTTGAATCGTAATCAAAGGTTTGCTGCGAGAAAAAAGGACATTTTCAACTTAGTATCCAGTGCATTTGAGAAAAGGCAATTTTCAACCTAATGTCTATAGTACTCCGGGACTGCACCAGTATCCCTTCTCTTTGCTCTATGAGTGCTCATTAAACTCGCGCCAATCTCTCACCAGGTCAGGTGCCTCAATAGACGAATTTTCAACTGAATGTCGAAAGTAATCAGAGATTTCATTGGTTTTGCTTTACCTCGAATTGTGATTGGTCCAGAAATTAAAACTCGTGCCACTCAACCGATCAGATGTAAAACTAACACTTAACACGACTTGGTCGCCTGCGTTTTCCCGTGCTTTAGGCAGTTTGGTCGTTTTTACTATGAGTTCTCATTGGCTGTCCGGGATATTTTTCTTTCTTTTGATTGGCCGTTGTGATTACTTTGGTTTCGGTCTTACGGCACTGAAAAACTAAGCTGAATCGCTCATAATGGACGACGTTTCCGGTCTGTATGACAGAATCAAAGGCAAAATTGAAGAATTTGTAAGACGGCCAAACAGCTACGTTGAACCACGATCAAGACAATACATATTATCTTGCCACGATGCAATCACTATTCACGGCTGAAATATCAGACTCAGAAGTTATATACTTGACAAAAGTGTACAAAAGCAAGAGATTTAACAGGGACTCGATCCTTGACGTCGAATTGTATTACAAAGAGACGGAGACCTTCGAATTCTAAAATATATTTATTGGTGTCGGTGAAATGCCGGTGTCATTCACAAGGCGCAAAAAAAGGATTTGTAAAAGAAGTGCTTCGCCTCCTACGAATAAATTCGTCACACTCCACTTTTAATAATTTCACCCTCACAACCACGCGGTTAAATCTGTTACTCTTAAAAACTTTAAACTACTCCAAAACGATTCAGAGACTGGCACTATCTTTTCGCAACCCCCCACTTGTTTCATTCAAACGTGACAAAAACAAAAGCAACTTTTTGGTCAGAAGTTCATTTCAAACCAATGACCAATCTAGAACTTTCGAATGCGCTCGCTCACGATGCAAAACTTGTCCTTTCATTCATAATGTAGAGGAAATATCGGGACCCAGGAGATCCATTTAGATCACTGATCACTTTACGTGTACCTCCGCCAATGTTATTTACTGCATAACTTGCACTTACTGCAATTAGTCATACATTGGCGAAACATACAGGAAGACGACTAGGTTATCGTTTCCGAGAACACCTTCGCGACGTGGAAAAAAATGACAAGGACGCATTCAAACCAGTTGTTAGACACTTTAATCTCCCTAATCATTCAAAACAGCACATGGCAGTTTGTGGCCTTTCCTTACATCTAGGCAGTTCGGAAAGCCGCAAAACACTAGTCCAGATCGGCACCCTTAATCCCCGCGGAATCAACGAGCGCTTTTCATTCAACTAATTTATTCCTGTTCTCTCGTCACCATATTCCCACCAATAGCGTCGCTCCACTTTCTGCATATAAACCCACACACAATCCGCTCGAAACGTCAGCTTTTTTTACCCCTTACGATGGCCAATTTACGCTTTCAACTCAGTTGTTAACACTAAATTACCTGCTATTGTTAAAATAAGATGCGTTACATTGTAAAACCTAGCAGCATGTGCGTCCTCTAAGGACCTGATCCCGCAAGTTCAACTACTTAAATATTCGTTGTCGGTCACCATGTGGATTTGACTGAGTAAACGTCTCAGTTTCTTATTCTGGTTGTCTCTCTTCTTATTACAGACATTATAATATTTTCTGCCTTTTCTTTTTTTTCCCATAGCACTCATCATATTTCATTTTTCTTTTCTGACTGTCTGATTGGTTATTTTAACCCCATATTTTGCATAAAGTGTTTTCCCTGGGGACTTCTCACGCAAATGAAAATCAAATACTTAGGATATTGAGATTCTAGTCTAAATATTCTTGTTACTTTATCAAATATCAATCCTGTATGAATAGCCACAACGTTAAACTCGCTCAAAAACCTTTTCAGACCTAAGGGCATATTTTCGCCAAACCTAAGGATCCTGACACTAAAGAACAACGAACCAACACTATATAATTCTATTCTGTGCAATGCCTGTGATCACGAGTTTATAGGACAGATCAAACGTCAGTTTGGTACGCGTTTCAAATCTCACTTAGCAACAAAGCAACTCTAAGCCAATCAGACCTCATTCGAATGTTCTTCATTATAGTTACGACGCGTGCGAGCGCTGCTTTTGCTTTTTGAAAGCGAAACAAACATGTGTTTAATTCACTTTTCAACGCATAGTTTTAAAAAATATGGCTACGGATCTCAATCATGGCTAATAAATATTCAGGAAAAAATGGGATTAGAGAAAAAGTCTGGATGATCGAGAAATCCGGATAATCGAGGTTCGACGGTAGCATCAAACCATGTCTGATTGTCCACCTGGTTGCCTTGTGAACTTTAATATAGACTTTATAACACTGCTCGCCTTCTCATTTTTTCCATTTTGTCACAAAAACATGGTTTTTTTTCGTAAGATGTCATAATTTCCTTTTTTTGAATGTCTGATTGGCTATCTCTACTCCATACTTTGTACAATGTGTTTCACTGGCGACTTCCCATGCAATTGAGTAATCAAATTGGATCATGATTGTAAGTCAGTTTTGAGATTCTAGTCTAAACATCATTATTACTCAAAATGCTCGATCATATATCAAACCTTTTTAGAGCCAACATAAATTTTATTGAAAATAAATTTGCCAAGCAAATGGTATTTCTCATGAAAATTTGAATGTTTACTTACTGTCAGCTGTGGTGTTAAAACAAAATGCTTGGGGAAGAACTTCCCTTTTTGATCACTTAAGTAAGTTTTAGAAAAAGCATGTTATAAAGTAGCCGTAAGCGTAAAAGTTGATAGATTTTAACCATTTGTCGTATAAAAAGTTGACCGTAAGAATTTTTTCTATCAAGAAGAACAGAAGGAAACTAACTGTTAGCCTTGAATTAACCAAAGTTTTAACCGTTAGCCGTAAGAGCCTTCACTTTGATGAGACCCTCATACTCCAGATGTACGATAAAGATTTTGCAAGATCTGAGGTATCATTTCATTAAAATTACCTTCTTACTAACCGAGCGTAAGGGCCTTGCCGAGGAATTTTGGTTAGATTTCTTGACAGTATAGACCCAGCACAGCGAGGTCTTTACTGTCAGGAAAGAGGGCCAATATTCCCAAGTACGACTCGAGCAAGCGTGGGTGGCGATTTTAGATAGTGGTTTATTTTATTGCACTCAGACCAAACTTGTTTATTTTAAATTTGTTGGCTTTTGCGACCTAAAAAACATGGCTTATGACCGGAGACGGTCCGTATGGCAGAGTACGGACCAAGTAAGAAACAATCAGAATTCTCGGATTTACGTCAAGACTACCCCGCTATATAATGAATCATAAGCAATTTTACTTATTTCTGCCTCCGGCCCTCTGCTAAGGCCTGGCCCGATTGTTCTCGGCAACGAAAACAAGGCTCTAGTAACCTCGAGCGATTTTTGCCTTTCTGAGCAATTTTTCAGCTACTGTTAGGTTAAGAGCACATATCAAGCACGACAAAGTCAACGATTTCCTAAAAAAGTTCGACCTATGCAATTTCGTAAATGTTTCGCCGGCCCATTGTCCAATATTAGAACGGGTAATCGACAAAGATGGTAAGATAGCTGTCTTTAATAATTAACGTCTATGTGAAAATATCAGGAATTTAGGTGGTCCTTTTGAAATGCGGCCTAGTTCGCCCGGCTTTGAACCGAGAGAAGGGAGTTCGAATCTCCCAAAAACCTTCACGTTTAAAATATACATATACCTTAGAAATTGCTCCAGAATAATACATGGGCGCGCGTAGATATAGAATTTCTCTTCGAGTGTTTAACTCGATAGTTCAAGAGTGAGCGCAGCGAACGAGTGAGATGTCGAGTTGAACACGAGAATAGAAATTCCATATCTACAATCAACCATGTTATCTACCATATCTACAAGCAACCATTTATCATATAAACACAATAGCCCTTTACTGAGAAGAAAAGTCGACTTCATTAGTGAATAAAAATAAATGAATCCATAATCCTCGAATAACAATCGTAGAGTGCGTTGGCGCTTTCTTGCCTAACAAAACATAAAACTGAGAAGGTACGTGAAAAATGTGTTGAATCATGATTACAAAAACAACAAAGGTCATAATTTCCAATTTACAAAATTCTCATTTATTGACTTTGTCCTTAACGACAGAAGAAGTCTTTCAGGTAAACGGCTGAAATCGGCCAGTGGCAAATCTTCCAGTTGTCGATTTTCATTCTCAGCCGAGAGAAATGCTAACACGATACGGATACGGATGTTTTAGTTTTTTAGCCGCCATAATCCAAGAAAGCTCCGACAAACAACTTGTATTGAGAATCGTGAAGAATGGTGCAGGGGTATGAGGATAATATCATCCCTACACCAATTTAGTTCAAAGATGATTACAAACCATCCCAAAACCAAGGATAAAGAAGGTGATTGTAGATAAACAACTTTCAACACCAAGAAGAAAAATAGAGCAAACAAATAAAGTTCTAAAAGGATACACCAAATCATTTGAGGCAATATAAGACACAACAAAACCATGTAAGACATAATTAAGATCCTTCAACACAATTGCAAAACACAGGCAAAGCTACTGAATTTAATCTTAAAAAACAATTAGATGAAATGAAAGGCTTTAAATTTGTTGAAATCTTGAGAATGGTATTTAATAAGTTCGATGGGGACGTCACAATCACTAAAACAGCTTATTTCAAAAGTAAAACCAAGACGGTTATTAATGAAAATGATATTAATCTGGATTTATTAGATTCAAGCCAAGAGATTAAAAACAAGATCCTGGTAGGATACCTGAAGGCTCCAGTTGGACTATTAATTCAATCGATAATCATTATCTCAACATTATTAAATACAACCCCC